CACTCTCCCTTGGGATCCCCTGCACACGCATGGTGCCCACTTCCGCTTGAGCCCGGCCCGCTGCAGCCCTGCTGTGCACCTGCATCCCGACAGCTCCCTGGAGTTCCTAATGATCACCTCCAGCCCGCTGCACCCAAGGCGAACCTCGGCTCCCCGGCCTTCCCACCCTTGCTCAGCCAGTGGAACGGCCCATGTTGTAGCCGCACAAAGCCCTTCCCCACTCCCCACACCCGAGCTTCTTCACACCCTTCCTGATTTCCATCAGCACACTCTGCTCTCAGAGCAGAGAGCCGGACTCGGCCTGCCTCGGCCCTGCCGGCCTCCCCGCCCGGCTTTCTCTGCTCCAGTCCCTGGCCTTGGCCAGGTCCCTAGACCGGAACGGGTGCTGCCTCAGGGCCTTACGCTGTCCTCCGGACCCTGCTGCTGAAGTCCCTCTGCTCACTCTGTGGGTACCTCGCTCCTCGGTCAGGGCCCCACCCAACCATCACAGCACTTCCATCACTTCCAGTTTACCATTTACACTTGTATGAAACGATCTTTTTACATTTTTGCTACAGGCAATGTAGGCCCTTGGTGAGGAGGGGGGGAGGGAGAAATCATCCCGCCAGGGGAAATGGCCACCCTGCAATCCCTTCTCGGCCATTCTCCTCTTGGGATTTTGGGATGCACACACAAGCACCTGACGTGTTTCTCAAGATATCCTGGGGATGGGGACCCAAGTCTGTCTCTCTCTCTCTCTTTTTTATAAAGTTTACTAGAGGACACATGTACTTGCCAGAGACAGAGAAAGCACGTCTCATGGGGAATGGTCACACTGCAATCCCGTCTCCACTTCTCCCTTCCACTGGGATGTTGGACAAGAACCCACAAGACGTCAAATCTGACGGAATGGCACCTGGGGCCGTCGGCCATGTGGGGCTCGCCCACCTTCACCACCACGCAGCTGGCTGGTCCTACCTTACTCCTTTCTCTTTCGCTGTTTGAGGACACACACGGTGACATGGTATATCGTGTATTAACAAATCTCATTAGCTGCACGCCCACATGCTGCGGGAACTCCCCGAGAGCACAGCGGCCCACCGGCAGGCTTGCAGGTCCGCGGCAGCCCACCCGGGGGCAGCCCAGCATGTGAGGTACAAGACTTCTAAGTTCATTGTGCTCATGATGGTAGCTGTGTGCGTGTGTGCGTGCAGACATGTGCGAGAGAAGCAGCCTCGATGGGGTCCTGTCACGCTGTGACCCCCTTCCCTGGCCCTCCAGCTCACGCGGATCTCGGGCACACACTCGCACTTGGTTTTCACGTCAAACTGGGGATATGAACCCCAGCCCACCTGCCGTCACACGGGGCCCCAAATCTGAAACTCTGTGAGCACCAACATGATGTCACAAGGAGAAAGCCCCACACCTGCCCTCCTAGGATGGTCGCGGTCAGAACCCTGCACTACAAAGATACTGCAAAACGCCACCTTCCCGGGCTTATCTGAGCCCCAGATGGATTTCGCATTAAGGCTTGGGTCCTGGGGCCAGCTGGGGGCATGGTGCTTGAGGTGGCTGGATGCCACATGGCCACCTGCAAGCTCGGCAAGCAGCTTCAAAGGCATGCCGAGTGTGGTGGGTATGCGCCCACACACAGAATCCCAACAGAAGGGGGGAAGGAGATGGGATAGCGGCGTGACCGGCCCCCACAGGCTGTGCTTCACTCTCTCTCTGGCAAGCACGGCACCCCCTAGTAAATTTCAAAAAAAGAGACAGACTTGGGCCCCCAGCCCCAAGATCTCATTGTTTGTATTGAAATATTCCAGAATCTGACGAAATACAAACTATCAAGTATTTCCGGCCCCAGCTTTCAGACTAGGGATGTTCAACCCCACTGTCCTGCCTGCTCTTGGACTTGAGCAAACGGAATCTCACGTCTGGCGTCTCGTTTCCTTCGCTCGACGCTCGCCCCCACCTGTGGCAGGCCGCGGTTCGTCTTCACTGCCGAGTAGTGCTTGGCTGGCTGAATGCGCCAGTTTACCCGTTTCTCAACAACTTTGCCCACCTGGGTTGATCCGGGTTTGGACATGGCATCTGCGGCTTTTCATAGCTACAGCCACCAGCTCTCCTCTACAGATCTAGAGGTGGGACAGCCACGGCAGAGAGCAGGTACGCCTGGCTTCTGTGGGTACCACGAGCAGCTCCCGAAGTGTCCACTCCAGTGCACACCCGCCTGCAGTGTTCCCGCTGCTCCTTCCTCTGCAACACCGGGCTGCCCTTCTGCTTTCTCGTCGCTCTGGTAGGTGCGCGGTGGCTTTCCTCCGCACTTCCAGAACGAGTGCAGTGGAGCGCCCTCACATATTACTGGGCCAGCAGATGGTGTGGTGGTTATGCTGCTGGACTCCCGCGTGGCCGGCAGCAGCTCAAGTCCCAGATCTGAAAATTATGCCAGGTGCGTGTAAGTGCGTTCCTAAAATACCAGAATGGAAGAGAAGGGAGTGCAGCACGGCCATCCCCCCGAGAGTGATTTCTCACTTTCCCTCACCGTCCCTGTCTTTCTCGGGCATGTGCACGCACCCTGTGGCAAGAACCTCCTAAAATCATAAGGGAGGTCCTTTGCAAAGTGCTGCTTAGTTTCTGGCCTAAATATTTACGTGTGTGTGTGTGTGGCGGTATATCTTTTTAAATGTGTTTTTAGGAGTTCATATGCTCCAGGTGAAAGTCTATCAGACACTTGTGCTGGTGCCTTAGGCAAGGCCTTCGCGGCCTATGTTGTCTCCCCAGCGACTTGACGCTCCGGAGCAGCAGGGGCGTCTCTGCTCGCGTGTTTCCACCTGCACCCTGCCCAGCCCACGGCAGGCCCTTCAGATTGGAATCCGATCAGCTGGGCCTTCTGGGACAGACCCAGCATGGGCGATTTCTAAGTGGCTGCCTCACACGTCTGCTCTGCCACTCTCAGCCCGCCTTCCGAACCGTGTAGTGTGGCACCACGCCGCGTAGACAGACCCCACCCCCACCCCCACTTCCTTGCCAGCTGAGTCCCGACTGGATCTGCACTGGGAGGCCTGGCGAGACAGAGGGTGGCGGGAGGCACTCTAGCTGACAGCGTCTCGGGCACAGCAGGGGCTACAGCAGCATTGATGACAAAGGTCAGGTTCAGAGAGCAGAGGTGCAGGCTCCTGGACCCTCGCTGGCAGCTGAACTCGGACAGCGGCAGCCTCTGTGGGCAGTACTTCCTGTTCCTGCCGGGGGTGGCGTCTGCTCCCTCATTAAGGCCTGACCTGAGCAACCTCCCCACCCCTCCCGGGCTCCTTCCGGCCTCCCAGGTGCCACGCCCCGGGTCCTGTGCGAATCTCACCTCCAGCGGCCGCTCTCCTGCTCAGCCTGACCATCCCAAGTATGTGGTGTCTGAAATGGTCCAGGGAACAAGCCCTCGGAGATGGAGTCTGGCTTGGTGTGCCTCTCTGAGCTAGAGTGAAGACCTCAGCGCCGTGGGGAGACCGGGTACTCCCAGTGCTTGGCACATCGCACCGTGAGGCCTGGGGGTGTTCAGCGCGCAGTGCCTATCGAAGTCGGGGTTTAAATGAAGAAGTGGGTGCTGCGCCCCACACCGCAGTGATGACTACGATCAAAGAAGTGGCCTGGCTACCTTCACTGCATGGGATGCTCACAGGAAGGAAATGGCAAGCTTAAGAGCTTTAACGTTTTTTATTTTTAGAGAGAGATTTTTGCTATAGGGCACATGCGTTCACCAGAGAGAGAGAGAGAGAGACAGAAAGCGAGAAATAACCCCCTGGGAGGGTGGCCATGCTGCAATCCCTTCTCCTCCATTCTCTTCGCAGGATTTTGGGCGTGCGCGCACACACACACACATGCACCCGGCCTGAGTTTTAAGCCCCAGGTCTGAGACTTGAACCGCAGTCAACGATGTAGGAGTTCAGTGATGTAACTACTGTGCCATCTGCGGGTCCCAAGGGCTGGAGCCCTGCTATGGCGGGCTTCTAAAGCTCTACTTCTTACGTCGCCTCGCCGCAGGGCAGGACGCACTTAGCAGCAAATCGCCGCTGTAATGCCAGGGTGTGGGGCTACGGTGCTGACGGTGCTGCCGCCCAGCGGTCACTGGCTGGGGAAGTGCCATCTGACATTGGAGCGAAGCTGCGGCCCACCAGATCACCTGGGGTAAACCGCAGCACGCTACGCGGCTGGCACCCCTGGGAAGGCTGTGGGTGCCCGGCCGCGCCCTCCGAGCACGTCAGGTGCATGTGCCCGCCATCCCTGCCGGGTGAGCCAGTCTTCCTCACTCGTAGAAGAAATAAATGCTTAGTTTAAAACAGAAAGCAGGTTTTTTTTTTCTTTTTGGTTTATTGCTATGAGGTGTGTGCACTCGAGAGAGGGGAGGGATGAGAGTAACAGGGGCTGGGGAACGTGGCCATGTCGCATTTCCTTCTCTCCCATTCTCCTCTCAGGGTCTTGGGCACACACAGGCGTCCAATGTAACACAGGTACTTTGTAAAGAAGGTGTATGTTCAGAGGGAACAGATCCATACGTGGAAAATAAAACGTAACTGATGAGCCGGCAGATGGTGTAGCGCTTATGTCGCTGGTCTCTCACATGGCTGACCACAGTGCAAGTCCTGGACCCAGTGGCTTAAAAATCACACTGGGTGCGTGTGCATGCATGCCCAAATCCCAGGAGAATGGAGAAGGGACTGCGGTGTGGCCATCCGCCTTGGGGGGTGGTTTCTCACTTTCCCACTCACTGTCTCTGTCTCTCCCTCTCTCCGACGAGCACACACACCCTATGGAAACACCTCTTAGGAAAAAACAAAAGTAAACATGAGCCTAGAGTAGCTGAGCCACATAAAGGGGCTGGAGAACGATACAGCAGAACGCACAGGAGCCAGTGCCAAGGGACAGTGCGTGCCTGTCAGAGCGCTAGGCCATGGCAAACCACGGTGCGTGTACTGAAAGCTCTTCCTCGCCCGAGGGTGCGGGCTGGTACAGACCAAATGCGTGGTAAACACCTGAGTACTGGGCTGTCGGAAACGTCATGGTGCATTTTGTAATAGATGGCGCTAGTCCACGTTTGGGAGTTCTAAGAGCATCCCCATCTATGTCACTGCTGCGTCATTTGACAGCCGACAGCTCTAGCTTCATTCTAAAGAAATGAAGTGATCATTTGATCTCGACGCTGGTCCTCGGTCAGGGAGGCACCCCGAGGCTGATGACGACAAAATAAAGGCGCTGACCGAGTCGAGCCCACGACACACACTGCGAGAGATTGCAGAAACAGTGAACATCCACCACGCAGGTGTTCACGGTCGCCCGAGGAAGCTGGGGCACGTCAGCAAGCCCGATATTTGGGTTCCTCATGAGCTCAAAAAAGACGTTCATTTGACAGCGTGGATGAGCATCTGCGACGTGCTCACTAAACCTGAGGGAGACAAGCCCTTTTGAAGCAACCGATATCGGGTGATGAGAAGTGGGCTGTTTACAACCACGTGTGCCACAGCGTCCCGGCCCCAACGTGATGATTCACCTTCAACGCTGGGATCTTAAAGGTGTCTTGTTTTTGAACTTCTACCAAGGAAACAATCAGTTCAAATGTGCACTGTCGGCAACTGGACAGTTTCACTGGATCCATCATCCAGGAACGTCCAGAGCTCGCTGATCATAACGGAGTAGTGTTCCATCGCGACAGTGCAAGACCACACTCACGTCTGACCACCCGTCACACTGCGCCGCCGCGCCCACCGAACCGCCCGGCCTCTGCCTTCAGGCTGCCTCTGTGTCGCTCTCTTCAGAACTGCGTGGGATAGTGCAGTTCAGGTGAGGCTGGAAATCAGCACCTTACTCGGTTTTTCGCTGATAAAGACAGGTCTTTCTGTGAATGACGAATGATGAGGTTCACTGAAAGATGGCAAAAGGTTATCAAACAAAATGAGCAATACATCACCGATCACTGTTCTCTATAAATGACCTTTGAAAACAGAAAAAATAGGTCATGACTTTTCCAACAACCCGATCATAACTCCTCAAGAATTGTCAGTGGATGGTTGATAGCCAACGCCCGTGGGTAAAATGTTTGAAGGAGAGCTGGATACTTACATACTCTCAAAGCGTCACCGGCAAGGAGGAACACTGTCACTTTACAGAGAAACCTGGCGGACCCCACTCTGTCAGGGAGGTAAGGCCAGCACCACCAGCACCGTGAGTCTAACACCGAGCGCTGAGGACGCAGCAGCACTCCTGTGCGCTCCTGCGCGGCCACAACCACATCGTGAGACCACATCTGACAAACCCAAAAATAATGGTCCTGCACCCCTAAAAGACGTCAAGGTATGAAACATGAATACAGACTAAGGAACTGTTCCAGAATAAAGGCGACTCAGGAAACATGACAGCACACCGTGGTGACCTCCTGCACCTTTCCCTTGTCCCCTCACCAAGGGAGTGCAGAGCCAGCCACAGCTGCGCAAGCTGCGAAACAGCACAGCCCCCCGTCTGGGACCATGTGGAGCCCCGCGCCTCATTTCCAGCGTGACCTAAAGGCCAGGCCTAGTGGTGTGTACCCCTGGTCCCAGCTACTCAGGAGGCTGGGGCAGGAAACCTGCAACCCAGAGAGACCCTGTCTCTCAAAGAAAAAAGGAGAGAAGTTCAACAACTGTTAAAATATAAACAAAGCCTGGACATTAACAGTATTAGACCATGAATTTCTTAATTTTGACAACAGTCCTGTGGTTATATAAGAGACATGTTACTGCTTTGAGCAAGAATACCCTGAGTTGCTTACGGATCCGACATACTATACAAGGGGATTTTTAAAAAGTTTGTGGGAAAATGGAATTAAAGTCCAAGTTTATTTTGGCAGAAAATTTTGAAATCCATACAGTTTCACAATACTCACTTTCCGTAAACTTGTTGAAGACTCCTCTCCCATGTAATTCACTCTCGAATGGCTCATTAAATGAGTTAGTGAGGGCTAGCAGTTGGCATGGTGGCTAAGGTACTAGACTCCCACATGGCAGATGACAGTTCAAGTCCTAGATCCGGTGGCTTGAAAACCACACTGGGCGCATGCAGGTGCGCCAACATGCCGAGAGGAGAATGGAGAAGGGACTGTGGCGTGATGATCCTCCCTGGGGAGTGATTTCTCTTTCCTTCTCTCTGTCTCTATCTCTCTCTGGCAAGTGCACATACCCTGTGGCAAAACCCTAAAACAGTTGAGAGAAAATGATAAAGCAGATAGTAGAACATTAACGGGAGGGTCTGGGTAATCACAGAGGAGCTCTTTCCACTATTCTTGTAACTTAAATCTGAAATCATTTCAAAATGTTTAAAGTCTTTCTTTCTTTTTTTTTTTTTTTTTTTAGGTTTCTGCCATTGGGCATGTACTCTTGCCAGAGAGGGAACGTGAGAAATGCTCAGAGGGATGGCCACATCACAACCCCTTCTCGTCCATTCTCCTCTTGGGATTTTGCTCACATTATATACACCCGGCATGATTTTCAAGCTGCCTGGTCTGGGACTTGAACCACAATCCGCTATTTGGGAGTCCAGTGCCTTAATCACCATGCCACCTGTTGGCCTGTAAGTCATACTTTTTTAAACAACTGATTAAATAACAGCTCCAGGCAATGATCATCAGTGAATGCTAAAAGTGCTACAAAGAAAGAGCAATCGGATCTTGATAACATTCAATCGGCCTGCTGAGCAGGGCTGACGGGTGAATGCCGACACAGCAAAAACAAGTAACCCTGAGACCAGCACATGGCGTAATGGTTAGTGCGGGGCTCCCAGGCAGTCAACCGTGTCTTGAGTCCCGGACCTGGCGTGAAACTCAGGCTAGGTACATGTGCGCACGCCCAAGTCCCCAGGGGAAGTGGAGAAGAGGGGATTAAGGCACAGCCATCCCCCCAGGGTGACTTCTTGCTTTCTGTCTTTGTCTCTCCGTTGAGCGCACATACTACAGCAAAAATCTCTTTTAAAAAAGACAACCATGTGGCATAGCTAAGACACTGGGCTCCCACATGGCTGGCTGCAATTCGAGCTCTAGATCTCATGACCTGGTAATCATGCCGGGCGCGTGTGCATGCATGCCCAAAACCCAAGTGGAGAATGGAGGAGAAGGGCTTGTGGCATGGCCATCCGCTGTGGAGGGGGATTTCTCACTTTCCTCCTCTTAGTCTCTGGCAAGCACAAGTGCCCTATGGCAAAAACCTATTAAAAAAGGAAAAAAAGAAGGCAATGAGGCAGCTCTGCCTGCCAGTGTGACTGCCATTCAACAGAAGGGTCAGCTCACCACTGATAAACTGCTGCGAAGCTGGGGGCTGGCAGGGGGCGTGGTGGTTAAGGTGCTGGACTCCCACATGGCTGATCACAGTTTGAATCCCAGACCTGGCAGCTTGCTTTCTCATTTTGCCCCCTCCCTGTCTCTTTCTGGTTAAATTAAAAAGTAATAATAATAAATAAAATTAAATAAAATCATTCCAGAAAGAAAGAAGGAAGGAAGGAAGGGAGGGAGGGAGGGAGGGAGAGAGAGAGAGAGAGAAAGAAAGAAAGAAAGAGAGAAAGAAAGATAGGTAGGTAGATAGATAATTCCTATGGGGGAAGGACAGGAGAACCTGAACTGAAGCAAGCTTCTGGATCTGAGGACTGACTGACAGAAATATGGGACAAAGAACGACCCTGTCAGGGCACTCTCGCAGAGTCCAGGATAGGTGACGTTCTGTGAATAAATGACTCAGATTTCAACTTCTTGTGAGGAAGAACTAAGACAAAGAAAGACTTAAAGCGTATCAACCAAACGTAATATCATTTTGTTTGGTCTTTTAAGTTCTGCTAAAGAGTGAGTGTGCTCTCTGAAGAGAGACAGAGGGGGAAAGTGAGAGAGCATCCCCTAGGAGGGATGACCATACCACAATCCCTTCTCCCGGCTCTCGGCCCAAACCAGGCATCTCTCTCAAACCACCGTGTCTGGAACTTGAACCACGCAGCCAGCCATGTGGGATCCAAGCACCTTAACCACCATGCCACAGGCTGGCCCCTGCATGGCTGTTTCTCTTTTGATTCAAACTTAGTGAAAAGACACTTCTGAGGACCTGAGGAAAATCACCTATGGACTGGGAGCAGCCGAATCCTTGTTAATACGCTGAGACAGAAAAGGCGTTGTTCGCTTCTAAGTTATCGTACACATGAACACACTTACAAGTGGCGTGTTATCTGCCATCTGTTTTAAAACAGTCTAAGGAAAAACAGCAGGCAACTAAGACAGGCAAAATGCTGGTAACAATGGAAGCCACCCAATGACCTCCAGAGTGCTTGAGACAAGGGGCCCGGGCCCCCGGCACCTGAGGGGCTCGCGGCTGGCTGCTGCGACTCGGAAGGGGTGGTAAAGACGCTCAGCATAGGTCACCCACAGCCTCATGGCTGGCTACAGAAACAAGGCCTGTATTTAGCAGCTCTGTACACTTTGTCCCTTCTTACACATACTTTGTAATTCCATTTTTTTAGTTTTGTTTTTTGTTTTTTAAGTTTTTTACCATTGGGTATGTGGCTTGCTAGAGAAAGAGAAAGACAGTAAGAAATTGCCCCCTAGGGGAAATGGCCTCACACAATCCCTTCTCCTCCATACTCCTTCTGGAATTTCGGGCATACAAGTACAGGGGCTTGGTGTGGTTTTTCAAACTGTGGTCAGCCATCTGGGATTCCAGCGGCATAACCACTACGCCACCTGCTGGTCCCATAAACTTGAACCTTTAGGATGCCAGATACCCAGGTGAGGTTATAAAACCACTGAAAGTCAGTGTCATCTAGAAAGAGACATGATGACAGGCAGGTGGTGCTAATGGCCTTTCTACAGGTTCTGTCCTGTCATGACTGCACCCTCTTCCATTGTGCTCCCAACCTTCCGATGCTCTTTTCCGTCTTGCTTTCCCTTCAGTTCTTTTGTTTATCTGGGGCGGTTTGTTTCACGACTGGCCTCGGATCTGTTCAGGCTTCATTTCACATTACCAAAGTCCAAAAATCCAAGTAGGTGGCACTGTGCCCTCCATGAAGCTCACTGCGGTTACATTTTAGCGAATACTGCAAGGGGTCATGGTCACGCCTCGTCGAGGAGCCGAGTGTCGGCAGGCGACTGCGACACAGACCCTGGCGTACACCCTGGGTCGAGTGGAGAACCTCCCTGACGGGTCTCCCCACAGGCTGTATACTTAGAAGTCCCTGGGGAACCTAGTTTCCAGTGTAGGGTCCCACCCCAGTTAGAAACTCCAGGATACGGAGCTGAGGGAATGATTTTTGTTTTGAGTTTTTCAGATTCTTCAGATAATCTGGGCCACCCCCCTCACCTGACAGGCATGGACACTGAGGCCTAGACACAAGACCAGAAGGAATGGTTAATGAGGCTGGGGCCAGCTGGGGCCTGGGGGTTAAGGCAGCTGGATCCTGCAAGGCTGCCTGCATGGTTTGAGTCCTGGACCCAGTGTCTTGAAAAACACACCAGGTCCATGTGCATACATGCCCAAAATACCCAAAGGAGGGAGAGATGAGAAGGGACTGTGACATGACCACTCACCACAGGAGGTGTTTTCTCACTTTTCCTCCCCCCTTCATCTTTTTCCAGGGAGTACAATCACCCTGTGATAAATTCAAAAAACAAAAACAAAAAACAAAACAAAACAAAAACAAGGTCAGGCTGGTGCTAACACGGGCCTATTGGAGCCTACGCCACAGTCTCCACAAGGGTTGCATCGCATCTTTGCACCAATTTAAAGATGTCTACGCAGGTTTCCCCTAACGCGCTACTTCACCTACAGATGTCACGAATGTCTCCCCCACTTGCAAAGTGGCCTAGAAGAGCACTGACATGCTGAGGCCAGGGCTCTGCTGCAGGTATGGCTCCCTGATAGTACTCAGATGCCGACACAAACAGAAACTGACCCCAGCAAGTGATGAGGCCAACATTCAAATCTGACAGCTTGGGACCAGCAGTTAGCATAATGGCTATGTCGCTGGACTCCCACATAGTCGACCGCGGTTCGCGTCCCGGACCCAGTGGCTTAAAACTCATGCCGGGCGCGTGTGTGTGCGTGCGTGCGTGCCCAAGATCCCAAGAGGAGAACAGAGGAGAAGGGATTGCGGCTTGGCCATCCCCGGGGGGATGGCCATCTCCGGGGGGATTTCTCGCTTTCTGTCTCTCTGTCTGTCTGGCATGCGCCCTATAGCAAAAACCTCTCCAAAAAAAAAAAAAAAAAAATCTGACAGCTTGACTCCAGGGCCCCAGTCACAAAACCACTTCCCAGGTTCAATTCACAGGATACTTAAGAATTCTATGTAGAGCCAGCAGGTGGCATGGTGGTTAAGGCACTGGAACCCACATGGCTGGCTGCACGGTTTGAGTCCCAGACCTGGTGGCTTAAAAAACATGCCGTGTGCTTACATTCCCAAAATGCCAGGAAGAGAATGGCGAAGGGACTGCAGCGTGGCAGTCCCCTGGAGAATTTCCCCCTCTCTGGAAAGTGCACACACTCTATGAATGGTGAAAATGTAAAAAGGCAAAAATATAAAAAATCTACATATGATTGGAAAGTACCACACACAGCAAGGTCGGGCCACTGTCAGCTGCTCTAGGTCCCTGGCTCTGCACAAGAACAAAACCCAGGCCCTACTGTGAGTCCCGTCACTGGGAAAGAGAAATCCTCAGTCCATGGGCCAACTGGGGTAGCCCCTGGGATTCTTACCCCAAAGGCAGAGCATACAAACTTAACGACCTCAGCTGTTTCTTGTTTCAAAAGAGGCCGCTGGGGAGGATGACGGTGGCAGTGCCTGAGGCTGCCAATGCAACACCCATCCTCCCCACTTCTAAGTCTTCCCCCGTGGCATCTGGGGTAGTAAGGCACTAAGCTGAAATTCCACAGTGTCCCCTGTTTTGTAACTAACTGCAGTGACATATTAACATTCTGACCAGTAAGATGCTGGGAAGCATTTCCGAACAGCTCCTAGAAGCAAGCCAGGCGGGGAGGTGCCTCTGCCTCTCCACTCCTCCTCCCTGCCTGGAGTAGGCAAGGTGCTGACACGCGCGGGCAGTCACCTCGGACCACGCATGACCCTGAGGGCAGGAGAAACAATGAATATGGTCGGACAGAAAACACCCAGGCCCCTGAACCTCCACAGGAGCCTGGACTGATGGCCTCTGACTTCGTGCTGCTAAGTCATTATTACCCTGAGTCTTCTGTCACACACAGCCGAACCGAACAGGGCCCACACTAACCCTCTTCAGGCTAACGGAAGAAATGCAAAGGAAAAGAACTTGCTGCCAGGGGAACCTAAGCCACCAGGCCTACCTCTGGGGGAGGAAACAACCCTCAGGAAGTGATGTCTCCTTAGCATCGGCCGCATGACCGAGTGTCAAGGCAACGACAGCTGTCAGGTGGCGGAGCAGCTCCGAGTCCTGGAAGAACCCACTTGTCCTGCTCCCTATGTCTCTGTGCTGTCTTATACAGTGACCCTGAGCTACGGCGGTTCTGACTAGCTTCAGGCTCCCAGCCTAGGGCCAGCACTACCACGCCTGCACAGGGTGCCACTCCCAAGGACCTAACCACCTCTGGGATGAGAACTCCGCATCTGGCTGCTCCAAGCTCCCGACGCCCCAGGGTCCCAACAAGCACTACGCTTTCCTCGCTTCATGCAGAACCAAAGGCATCCTCCAGACTGGGGTTTTTGCCTGGGAAACCCACGCACTGTTCAGCCCGGCGCCCAGGGAGTGCATGTTCAGGAGGCACGGGCCCTATTGAGCCCTCCTGCCACAGCTCTGTGCACGTGGGAGCACGGGAGCAAACGCACATCCGGGGGCTGCTTCTGTGTTGTTAGTGGCACACGGACGTCTTATTTTTGTTAACAATGGAGAGGGACATCTTGGATAAAAGCACCAACATCACCACCAGATCAATTTCAAAATAGGGTGTAGTACTTACATATGCGATGTGAGGCCCTTCAGAAAGCTCGCAGAAAATGCATGGATTGCCAAAATACTTTGCCAAACGTAACAGAATTGTGTTTTAGTTCCATTTTCAATGAGTTTTTTGAAGTCCCCTCATATACGTACATATATATAGGTAAGTACAAATAGTGTTCCTTAAAAATAATGATTTTAATAGAGCCAGATGCGTCATCTATGCTGAACGCAGAGCCGATGAGAATAAAGTCCTTCACAGACACGCACGAACTCGCTGCTGCAGGTATGTCCAAGGGCTACAGCGTCTCTCACCCCACATGCTCTTCTATAGCAGGGCCTGGCCACTTCCTCCCCCAAGGGTGGTGGGGAACAGGCCCATGCTCCCTCGGCCTGAATCTGAGTAGGCTGTGACCACTGACGACACACAGCAGTGGCCCTAAGTGACTCCTGAGCTTAGGTCGGGGAAGGCCACCTGTGGTCCCCCGGCTCCCGGGAGAAGCTGACCACTGCATGGAAAGCCCACCCGCTCTGAAAGCTGCCGTGGCCACAGGATGCACATCGCTCCCCTAGCCATCAGCAGGCTGAGGTCCCGGTCAGTTGCTGGCCACCCTCAACTGCCACCTTGGACAGTCCGCCAAATCAACGAAGCCGTAAGAACATGGCCCCAACTGACATTCTGACCACAACCATGGGAAGAACCTCCCTTCTCTAATTCCTGACCCACAAAATCATCACAACCCTGAAATGGCTGCTCTAAGCCGACTAAAGGCAGCGACAGTAACCAGAACACCAGCTGCTCGGGGCAAGTCTCCAGCTGGGGGATGGTTCTTGAGTCTCTGAATTTAAAAACCTGGACGTGAACAGTACACAAAAAGTACCTGAAAATCCAGGAAGGGTTAGGGAACATGGAAGAAAGCTTCTGGAAGGAGGTAAGAAACCCACAGCTCTAAGTGGAAGAGCCAGGACAGAGGAGAGAAACAAGCATTGCCAGGCCAGAGTGATCCTCTCTACCGAGTGGGAAATTCCTCACACAGAAGCAAGGCTCCTGGTTAAGCAACTGGGCTGTCCCATGACTGCAAGGACTTTGTTCCCACTCATCTGCCCACTCCCCTCCCCTTCCAATTTCTTTAAACTTATTTTTATGTTCCAGCGCACAGTGGAGCCCAGTGTAGATGTGGGTGGAGAGGTTCTGGAGAGGCACTCGGAGGGGCCCATCTGTGGTGTGAGGCTAGGAGCCGACCCCACGTCAGCAGAGGGACAGTCAAAGCGGAAAGACACGTGGTCAGACTCACCAATGTTTACCCCGACCTCTACACCCACACACAGAACCAACTAGTGTTCACAGCCGGGCGGAGAAGGCCACAGCTGACCCCACGGCTGCAGCACGTCTTGGGTGCTCAGGGGCCTGGGGCTTGTCCATGGTGACAAGAACAGCACAGTGCAAAACCCAGCCTCGACAAGAGGTGTGTTCTGACAGAATACAACCAGATTTTATTTAAGTTCTTTTTTATTTTCCTCCACACTGGCAAAAGTTCCGAGGGAGCTTAAAGTTTTGTAAACATTTTAACTATCCCTCTTCCCCACCCCCCACTTTTGAATTTACAAAGCAAAGAAGAGTAGGAGCCCCAATTTTTAATGGTTCCCCATCTCCTCATGCTATTTGATCCAAAAACTATGTACAAGTATGTAGCAGTCTCTGTATATTATTGTACACATTTAGGAGGGAGGGAGGTAAGAAGGAATAGGGAGAATAGTGATCCAAAATAATCAGAATAAAAACCAAACATAACCCTCCAAAACCGAACTGCTCTCAGAGCAACTCCAGCCCTCTCCAGGCAACGACAGAAAAGGAGCTTCCCCAGGAGCCCCCAGACCACGGCACCTCTCGGGCAGGCACAGGGCCCACCGGCTCTGACCAGCGTGACTGGCAGTTCGGGGCGCTGCTCTGTGGGCTCTGGTGAGGCAGGCAGAGTGTCTGTGTATAGATAGGGCTCGAGGACATTTCTACTTGAAGTGGAGGGCGCTAGGAGGCCACAGCCAGGACAGGAGGAGCCAGGCAGCTCGCTCCAACCCTGCCCATCCCCTCCCATCCCCTGCCGCCTCCTGTATAGTGGTCTCCACGGAGGCAGGTCTTAAAGATGGTTGGGTTATGTTCTCTTCGGAAAAGGCCAATCCAGAATCTTTTAACAAAACCTTTTCAGGGCCACAGCAAGACACACACGCAATGCTCTGAGGAACCAGATGAAATTCCAGGCTTTTATCGGAAGCAAAAGTTTATCCCTATCCAAAATGAAATTATACAAATTCATACATGGTAAAGATCCTAGTTGCCTCTTAAACGAGACAAATTTTAAGCAGAAGGGCCTGAAACAAACTGGTCCTAGTCCTCTGAAGTAAAAATATTTATGGGAAAAATCAGTTTTTATAAGAAAGAAAAATGATAAGTCCCTCTCCCAGGCCATAGGGTTTCCTCTGTCCAATCAGGTAGGAGTACATCGGGGAGAAGTCAGCTTGCTCGGAAGTCACTATCTAATGAAGACAAACGGGATCCTTTCTCTGAAAGGATGCTCAGGAGGAACAGGCAAGGGGTGTGCACAGTCAAACCGCTGGATCTAACCCCAGCCCGGGCCTCCGACCCGCTCCCAAGGTCGGCAGTGGGTGACTTTGGAACGCAGTCACAGCCCGGGCGAGGTGCTGCCGCCCCTGGGAACTACAGCTCTCGTCATGATTGCACCAGGCAGACCTCTTGCCTAGGGGGGGGCGGGGCGTGGGGGAAAGGACAAACGAAACAGAAGGGAAAAGCGACAGGAGAAAGCTGCTCTTGGCAGACCCGACACCGTCTCTGGGGGACAGCAGATGAAATCACGGACAGGGCACGCGTGCTGCCGGACATCAGCCTTGTTGGGGAGCGATCCCAACTGCCACCCCGAGATACAGGTCCGTCCCTCGTCTACAGTCTGAGATGCTCACCAACAAAACCAGTTTAGAGAGTCCTGGACACAAAGGGCTAGAAGGGAAAGCCTGAGATGACGGGCTCTGAGGCTCGCTGCAGAGTGAGGAGGAGTAAACGGTGTGGGTGTCGCGTCCAAGAGCGGAGGGTCCACGGTCGGCAGGTAGGAGAGGGGAGCCAGGCCCTGGCAGGTACTCAGTAGTCATCCACAGTCTCGATTTCGCCCATGTTGAGTCGCTCCGATGACGCGTTGACTGAAAAGCCTGCAGGAAAACAACTGGCATGAGTAAACAGCCCAGACAACCAAGTGGGTTGGCTTCTAGGCAGGGGATGGGACCCCACATTTCATTTGTTCCCCTTAACCAACCTACCACCTTCCTTCCTCCCTTCCTTCCTTCCTCCCTCCCTCCCTCCCTCCCTCCATAGCTAGCTAGCTATTAATCATCCATCTATCACCTGTTGTGATTTTCAAGCTGCCAGGTCTGGGACTTGACCCACTGTCCACCATGTGGGAATCCAGAGCCTTAACCAGTCAGCCACCTGCTGGCTCTCCTAAATCTCGTTTTGAGCATACCACAGCGGACCAAGAGAAGACAGATCAAGGAAGATCAGAACAATGGCTTTCTGCTCTCCTACGAGACATTGTTGTTTGCTTTATTTTCTAGGGTACTGGGATAATTAATTGGGGAAGAAAACAAAACAAAATAGCATCACCATTAAAAAAGAGTTGCCAACTACTGCTTTAGAGGCTCTGAGGCGAGCCTGCCTGTGAGTGTGTGTTAAGGACAGAGCAGGCTGCCCTGGGAGACAGTTCATTCAGGTCCCGTATCTCACAAGAAGTGAGTGTAGCGGAAACAAACACACACTACTAAGTACTACCTGACCACAAGACTTTGAGAACTGAGCATAATTAATCCTTTTTCAGCACCAGACTCACTTTAATGGGAATACTTCTGCCCACTGGTCAAAATCTTTGTGAAGGTTCTGGCCAGTGGCTCTTGCTATTCAGAAGTAGGAGGTCTCCCTTGAAGACCCACCATGAGGTCCTCAGAGCCCTCAAGCCCTCCCAGGTTCTTTCTATCTCCTAGTAGACAGAACGAAAAGATTAAAGTACTCTACTCAACTCCATCTACTGTACGGGCATCTGCAAAGGAAGGAATTTCACTTGGCAAGAGCTGACTGAACAAAAGCAAACTAGTTTAGAAAAAGCAGTGCTCACACACCCACCGAGGGCGAGACACAGTACGCGATTTCCCCGTAAACTCCATTATCAGAGGTTGACGAAAACTATGACACTGAGGCTCCTTCCGAGTGAGCGGCTCCATAAGGCTCTCCAGTTCACGTCTCCGAAATGAAACCCCAAACTGTTTCTGCTATTTGAATAACAAAAAAGTAAACAGGAGACGGCTCCCAGTTCTGCTAACATTACCTGGGTTTCTGCACTTTTTGTTCTTTAATGTTCAGGTTTCCAAATAAATACGCATTTGAAATGTGCCAATAATAAACAGAAATGCCTTACATAATAAATACGCTTAATTAACTGACTCAAAAACATGATTTGGGAAAATAAACATGCCTATTTATTAACCAAGGAAGTTGTGGGCACGGGCTGCTCACAGGTCCAACACAGGGAATGACTAGGTTGCCAGGTGCTAGGCTGAGTTCTGCTCCATCAACTGTGCTACCATAACCTGCAAGACTTTTTTCCCTTGGAAAATACTGAAAAGTTTAGTGTTCTTATTTTTAAAATAATGGTTTAATGCGATAAGTACAAGAATCTGAAGACCAAGTGGTCTATGAAGCAGACTATTACTCTATTCTGGGGCAGGTTTTTGTTGGACTTCACATATATCTCAAGAACAGGTAAAATGTGATTTGAAAATAATAATGAGCTATATGCAACGGAAGTGGAAATGTAATTTAAAAATCCAACTAAACTAATTCTAATCAAGCAAAGACAGGAAGGAAAAAGTCTGTGGTTCCTCTTCTGGACAGCAGAGTTGATTATTCAGTGTTATTAGGCTAGGCTTCTATTTATTTACTTATTCGCACATTTAATTTATTTTAGATAGGGTCTCACTATTGTTCCGATTTTCCTGCCTTCCAAATAGCCAGGATTACAGGTGTGCACCGGACTTTTAGAGCGGTCCAGGAATCAAAGCCAGGCCTCCCTGTGGCCCAGCCTGCTGCTTAGCAGTGTTCATCCATCTGTGTTGTGGCTGGGCTAGGCAGGCTTTTAGAAGACGTGGTCTCACTCAGCTGTCATAAGACAGACTGTCATTCACCCGGTTTCTTCAAGGTCTGTGATTGTTCTTAGAAGGAAAGGCTGACTGGGGACACATCACACTGTGCATGTACTTAGCACAGACACAAGCTGCTGGTTCACAATAGCCATCGAGATGCTGAAAAACTAGAGGACTAGAGTACGATGGAGAGCAGTGGTCATTAAAACGAGGCTGGGACTCCCTCTGCTGGTTGATTTGAGAAGCTATGGTTTCTTAAGCTAGCAGATGATGTGATAGTTAAGGCAGCTGGATCCTGCATGGCCTGACTACATGGTTCAAGTCCCAGATCCAGCAGCTTGAGAGACAGGACAGGTATGTGAGTAGGCATGCCCAAAATTCTGAACCAAGGAACAAGTGGAGAAGGGATCACAGCATGCCCATCTCCTATAGGAGGTGCTTTCTCACTTTCACTCTCTCTGTCTCCCTCCAGTAAACACATGCATCCTCTAGGGAAGGGGAAAAAAAAAAAGCTGTTTTATTTTCAATTAGTGACTTTTTCACTGGATACTATTAGATCAAATTAGAACCTGGATTCCCATTTTGTTTATGGGGGGCTGGTGACTGATGGATATTTAATACTTTTTCTTAATATGTAAATCTGTAAGGAATACACAAATTAAAAAATAATATGGACAAACCAGGCACGTGTGCATGTGTGCACAAAATCCTAAAAGTTGAGAAGGGATTGCGGCATGGCCATCCCCCTCGGAGATATTGTCTGTCTTTCTCTTTCTCTCCCCCAACCCAGAAGCACACGTGGCCTGTAGCAAATTAAAATAATAATGATAATAACAACAATATGGGCTAGCTCTGTAGTACAGTGGTTAAGGTAGCTGGATTCCAGGTGGTGGACAGAGTTTTGAATCCTTGCCCAGTGGCTGGAAAAACACTCCAAGAATATTTTATCTATGCCCATAATCTTGACAAGATGGAAAAATGGAAAAAGAACTGTGGCATAATCATGTCCCACTGGGGATATTTTCTCTCTAGCAAACAAAGGTGCTCTCTGGCAATTTAAAAAAGAAAAAGAATAAATGGAAATAGTAGGTACTGAGATAGGCCTTAGACCTCACTTACAGGTAGATAGGGTAAGGGCCCCGAAAGGAAGTCTCTGTGTTTTCCTCTATGGTCTGATTAATGTAAATATACACCCCTTCTGCATGTCTCTAAAGAACTCATGACTCCTGGGACCAGCTGTTAGCGTAATGGCTATGTCGCTGGACACCCATGTAGTTGACCGTGGTTTGTGTCCCGGACCTAGTGGCTTAAAACTCACGCTGGGCGTGTGTGTGTGCATGCTCAAGATCCTGAGAGGGGAATGGGGGACAGGGATTGCGGCATGGCCATCCCCCCTGGGGGGTGATTTCTCGCTTTCTGTCTCTCTGTCTCTGTTTGTCTGTCTGGCGAGCGCACGCGCCCTATAGCAAAAACCTCTCCAAAAAAAAAAAAAAAAAGAAAAAAAAAAGGAAAGGCTGACTGGGGTAGTAAATCACTGACTACCGTGGAACCATCTCCTAAAGCCCACTTCCTTACCAGAAGGCAGGCCCCTAGTTCAGACAGCTGGATTAAAAACCCCTGGCCTCCAGCTCCTCTGTAGCGAACCCATTCGGGCCCCTCCCACCACACTGGAAGCTTCCTCCTTCCCTAATAAATTCCCCTTTCCTCTTCTATGTCCCCGTCTCTAATTCTCCATGAGTGCAGGATAAGAACTGATATGTTTTTGGGTCTCATAGCCTAGCACTCCCTCCTCAGTATGGGACAGAAGGAGCAATTAGGGAAATTTCCAGAGGAAGGTTTAGGTGAGTGGTAATTTCTCAAAGACTGGTCCGTGTGAAAGTCCTCTCAAGTGAGTTGAAGTTCTACTTGCTGGCATTTATCTGGTTTTTCCCTTTCTGTGCAGAGTATGTGGCTATATCCTTAAACTCTATTCCTAGGACGACTCCTACCCTCAACTCCCTGTAGACAATTTATTTTGAATGTCCCTTCCTTTCTTAGATCTTAGAAGACAGATACAAAGGACTCAAAACGGTCTGACCTGCTTTTCAGAAGGACCTTTCTTTCTCTGACAGCCTACCCCAAGACCCAAAGCAAAATACCAAGGGCTTCAGAACCAGAGACCGCAGAATGTAAGAAATGCTTTTAAATCTACTCGTCTGTCTGTCAAAATTAGACAGTGTTGGGCTGTTCCACCAATTCTTAAATTAACTTTTAGGACAAGCAGAAGAAACCAGAATTTCAACAGAGCTCTATGTTCCCAAGCCCAGTTTTTGGGCACTGATCCCGGAGGGTAACCCTGAATATTAGGTTTTTGTTACTACCATGCTGTTTTCCCTGGGGCAAGAAACCTCTGACGGAAAGTGAGAATTCCAGAAGGGCACTGGGAATCCAGCCCACTACACACCATCTCAGCGCCCCAGTCTACTCTGGGCCAGCACACATCACTTCTGCAAAGGCACCACCGCTCACCCTGCCATCCAAGCCAGAGCCCATTCCACTCTTCGTGTTCAGCTGATCCTGCACTCTCAGTTTCCAAAATTCATCGGGCTCCTCTCCATCCCCAAGGCCAAAGCCCTGCCCCAGCCTACCAGTACTTCTCACCTAGTACACTGAAGCCTCCTGACTGCGCCACCACCCCAGACTGTGTCTTGGCCAATAAACTCATCTATCATAGACAGCACAGTTTTATTTATTAGAAAGATTTTTGCTATCGGGTGTGTGTGTTCACTGGAGAGACAGAGAGACAGAAAGAAAGAAATCACACCCCCCAGAGAGGATGGCCATGCCACAATCCCTACTCTTGGGATTTTGGGCATGCATGCACGTGCCCAGCATGAATTTTAAGTCACTGGGTCTGGGACTCAAACCACAGTCGACTATATGGGAGTCCAGCAACGTAACCATTATGCCGTCTGCACGGTTTAAAACAGCTCGTTTTCTCTTCCTCTTCTTATAAGCAACCTGAGGTGATCTTTGAAAATGGTTCACTACACACTCAACCTAGAGAGCCCCACAAAGTCATGCAAATCAAGAGGGTCAAATCTTCGTGTTCTTAAATTTTAGGAACACTCATGCAACTGCCCAGGCCACCAAGGGTGCATATCCAAAGAGCCGCCAAGTATCTGAAGGATGTCACTTTACAGAAGCAGTGTGTGCCATTCCGTTGTTACAATGGAGGAGCTGGGAGATGTGCCCAGGCCGCACAGTGAGGCTAGACATAAAGTCGGTGAACCAGAAAGAGTGCTGAATTTTTGCTGCACTTACTTAAAAATGCAGAGAATGATGCTGAACGTAAGGGGTTGGATGTAGACTCTCTGGTCATTGAGCATATTCAGGTGAACAAGGCACCCAAGAGAAGGTGTCATGCACACAGAGTTCCTGGGCAGATTAACCCACACATGAGCTCCCCCTGTCACACCACAACAAAATGATCCTCACTGAAAAGGAGCAAACTGTTCGTAAACCAGAAGGGGAAGTTGCATAGAAAAAAAAGATATCTCAGAAGAAACTGAAGAAACAAAAACTTATGGCATGGAAGTAAAGTCAGCATAAAATAAATGTAGATTAAAGTTAAAAAAAAAAAGAAAGAAAGAAAGAAAGAAAAGAAAAGAAAAGAAAAGAAAAGAAAACAAAAGAAAAGAAAAGGAAAAGAAACCAGCCCAGTTTACATTCACAAATAGAAAATAATTTATCTTTGTCCACGAGGCTTTTGGACCTGCTTGTTGTTCCTGCAACCCATCCCCCATGCTTCATACCCTACTTCAGATGTCACACCTTTTCCAGGAAGGTGTCTGGGATGAAGACATGGGTCCTAAATGCTAGACAAGACCAGCCGTGGTTAATACACGAGTGGAAAGAAGAAAATAAGCCTGCTCTGAAGCCCTAGCTCCGCTGCCGAAAGCCTAAGGCAAAAGGAATGTTCTCAATGCCCTGGACCTTGGCCTACTCAGCGATGAGCTGGGCACACCTCACATGCAGCAGCTCTGAGATCTGTGTGCACACGATACACCAAGAGGACTGCTACAGACGTGGCTCTCTCCTGGACGATCTGCTTCCAGCACAGACCAGCAGTAAGTCCTGAAACGACGTTTCCTGTTCTCCATTAGCATTATTTTCCAACTAAATTGGAAGGCCCTCCAGACCTTTCATTAAAATCTTAAATACAGAACATTTTTACGTGTCCAAGTTAGTCCTTTTCTTAGCCGTTCTGGCACACAGGTGCAGCCCCTCAACTCTCAGAGACGACCAGTAAACACTGGCTCTGACTTGAAGCGGCTAGAGAAATTACTTGAGTGTAAGAAACACTGTCCCTCCTGAAAGCCCTGCACCGTGGAGGCTCACAGGTGATCCACACTGTCACCCGCTCCCCAACGCTGGCTGAGCCCAGGGCCTCTGCTCACCTAGTAAACTAGGATCTGCTCGGACCATCTTCTGCTTTTTCTTCTTCTTGCCACTTTGCACGGCCTCAAAATTGGATTGTTGGTTGTTGCTCTGATTGGTCTGAAATACTGAATGGAGTGTACTGTGATTCATTCCCCACACCGAGTCCTGTGAAACAAGACAGCATAACAGGTTACACAGTGGATGCAGACTTGGCTCTCACTTATCAAGGACAGGTTTAAAAACAAAAAGCCTAATCACAGGTTCCTGTGATAATGACACCAAGAGCAGACCACTAGGCTCCATTTTCCTCCATTTCGATTCAGGTGTCCCACTTGGGCCCGAGGCCCCTACCGAGCTCGTCCAGGTTTCTATGCTGACGTGCGGCACAGCTGCGAGGACTTCTCTGCGTGTACGGCATCTACAGCAGTCACTAGGGAATGAAATGTGCAGCGACTAACCACAGAGCCCTCTGCACTCTGGCAATGTACACCCCTCACCTACCACAGAAGAATTTCTCTTTGCTGTCTGGGCCCCAGGACAGAAAACACAGGCTGCAGACCAGCTGGCAGCAAGCGTTAATAGCCAATTGCATTATTCCTCAATTCCAGAAAGCATCTGGCCCCCATATACCATCCACACAGTTGGTGTCAACTGGTTATCTACACAATACCCTACCGGACCTCCACACTTACTTGCTCTCATTAGAGCAATTCATTTTAAACTGGGACCCGCTTCAATGAGCCAGCTGAAGACATGGGTGGCGGTGCTAGGAGAGGAATGCAGAAAACACTGCAGAAGAATGAGCCCGGTGTGTGTGTGTACATGCAGGCATGTGTGCACACACATGGTCATGCATTTTCCAGGGCTTCTACCTTCCTGTTTGAGTCCACAGAAGAGGCAGTTTCACGGGCACAAAGAACCTTCTATATTGCTACACAGTGCCTTCTCCTTTGACTCCTGACAGTATTTTTCTTCCTGGTGTTTGCATCTGTTACTTTCTTTTAACTTATCCATTGGCCCATTTATCTCGTTGGATTTATTTTTTAAAGATTTTTGCCAGGGCCAGCAGATGGCATAGTGGTTACATTACTGTACTCCAAGGTGGCTGACTGCAGTTCAAGTTTCAGACCCAGTAGCTTGAAACTCATGCTAGGTGCGTGTGTGTGCATGCCCAAGATCCTAGGAGGAGAATGGAGAAGGGATTGTCTCTGTCTCTGTGCCCAATGGCAAAAACCTCTTAAGAAAAAAAAAGATTTTTGGGAACCAGCAGTTAGCGTAATGGCTATGTCGCTGGACTCCCACGTAGTCGACCGCGGTTTGCGTCCCGGACCCGGTGGCTTAAAACCCACGCCGGGCGCATGTGCGTGTGTGCCCAAGATCCCAAGAGGAGAATGGAGGAGAAGGGATTGCGGCGTGGCCATCCCCTCTGGGGGGTGATTTCTCGCTTTCTGTCTCTCTCTGTCTGTCTGGCGAGCGCACGCGCCCTATAGTGAAAAACCTCTCAAAAAAAAAAAAAAAAAAAAAAAGAAGATTTTTGCCATAGGCTACATGCGCTGAGACAGATGGTGAGGAGGAAAGTGAAAAATCACCCCTGGGAGGATGGCCATACCACAACCCCTTCTCCTCCACTCTCTCGGGATTTTGGGCATGCATGCACAGGCACCTGGCATGATTATCAAGCTACCAGCCTAAGACTCAAACCATGGTTGGCCATGTGAGAGTCCTGCATCTTAACCAGCACATCACCTGCTGGCCCACTAACTGGGTTTAAAATTTTTTACAGTTCATGGAATCTTCTACATCTCCAAAAATAACCTATAACAAATCCTCATGATCTCTAGTATAAGAAATAAGAACTTAAATGATGCATATTTAAGCCTCTCCATCAGCCTTGTCAACATATCTTTCAGAAAACTTGTACAATTGGAACCGGCAGTTACCGTAATGGCTATGTCGCTGGACTCCCACGTAGTTGACCGTGGCTCGAGTCCCGGACCCGATGACTTAAACTCAGGCCGGGCGCGTGTGCGTGTGTGCCCAAGATCCCGAGAGGAGAATGGAGGAGAAGGGATTGTGGTGTGGCCATCCCCCCTGGGGGGTGATTTCTCGCTTTCTATCTCTCTGTCTCTCTCTGTCTGTCTGGCGAGTGCACGTGCCCTATAGCAAAAACTTCTGCAAAAAAAGAAAAAACAAAACAGAAAACTTGTACAATCAATCCTCAGAGTCCGTGTTTGTGTACTCACTTACTAAAATGTACCTGAAACCTCCAGTCCAGCCCAGTGTTTCATAGTCATTATGCACGCGACACACAGAGTGGTGGGAAACGAGCCATGTTCCAGGCACATCTTCCCAGCTGAGGCAGAACAGAAAACAGTGCTTTCTTGTTCAGCCCTAACACATAAACAGGCACCAGTGCCACGGCTTTCGCGTTTGCCCTCTTGGTTGGTGACCTCACTGCTTCGAATGGCCAGGAGCAGTGCTGAAGTGCCAGCTAGTGTTCCTAGTGCAAGAAGGCCGTCGTGCGCCTTAGGGAGCAGCCCTGTGCTGGCGTGTGTCACAGTGCCGTCGGCCATGTGTTCAATGCGACTGAGCCACATAAGTTAGGTTCTTTAAACAAATCACGTATGAAACAGGATTATGTCTTGTTCAGCCGACACCACTGTTGTGTCCAGAGGCTCAAGGAGCCTGATCCTGTACACCCCCAGGGTTCAGCACTGCCAACCCAGTGGCCCCTTTCTTTTCATTTTATTAAAAAAAAAGATTTATTTAATTTTATTTATTCATTCATTTATTTTAATTTGACCAGAGAAAGATAGACATGCAGAGAGAAGGAAACTGAGAAAGCAAACCACCAGGTCCGGGACTCGAACCACGGCCAGCCATGTGGGAATGTCCAGCACCTTAACCACTGTGCCATGTGCTGGCCCCAAGAAGCCACTTTCTTTTGCACACCATAAACAATATATGAAATGTCTGCCAGCTGCAGTGCTGTCGGGCCTGGGTACAGTGGAGCCTGAGCTGAGCAATGGAGGAGGAACGTTCATTTTCAAAACCAAGGCTGGGGCAAGCTGGACTCTGTAACCGACTGAGACATACGTATGCATCGAGAGAGACCAGACTAGCACACTTAGTAGAGAACGGACGCTAGTGTCTGCTACTCGAGAAATTCACAAAGGTCTCTGCCCGTGTAATGTGAAAATACAAAGTCTACACACTTTATCGGATATACAAAAATGGCATCTTTGTTTTCATGTCTATTTCTCTGGTCACTCAACATCTAAAGGTGCCGATGCTCACAGAGGTACTGTGTACACCGGGCTACATCATACCTGCTGCTGCTGCTGCTGTTGCTGCTGCTGCTGGTTCTGGTGGTGGCGGG